GGGGCACGGGAGGAAAAAAAACCTTCAAAGCGGGATAAAAAATGCGGGTCGCGGGGTCGATCCCGTAACTGCATCTATTAAAGGACGCCAAACTACGTTTTCAACAACACTCCCTGAATGCAACAATCAAACACCCAAGCGATGTCTTGAAAACGCCAAATACAACAATAAGCTGTGCCAAATGGACCCTTAAGCCTAAATAAAAATCCATTTTATATTTAAACCTAATGTGAGTAGACTTGAGCTGAGCAAAACTTAATCTAATCCCCAAACTAAGTTCAAATACTGTGCTAGACTCTACCTTCCCTTTAACTAATTTAAAATTAAGACTGAACCTAAACTAAAATAACATTAACTCCACTATAATATTAAGCTTAAATCCAATTTAACTTAACCTAAACCAAAACTCATGGCTAAATTTAAGTTTAATAACAAGTTAATATCGCAAGTCATGAGCCAGGTCACATTTTACTCCTCAGTAGGAGTCAAGTTCGTAAGTTTAAATTTATCTCTTTAGAATAAATTCAAGCAACCAACATGCTGATCTTAGTTTAGTTTATGATGCGGTTATATTTGTTACCTTGTGATTTGATTCATTGTTAGGGTAGTTTTTTTGTCATGTGAAATATTATTTATGATGTTGTGTCTGATAAAAAAATAGAAATTTAAAAATCTTTGTGTAGTCCACGGTTGTACAGAGGAGAAGACGAGGGTTTCTCGCTATCGTGTTTGAAACCCTCATCTTTTTCCCACTTTCGCCCCCACTAGGAATCCTCGAGGAAAATGAAGCATGGAATATGTGTTGGGTAAAAGTTGATTTAAGCTTTCATATGATTTATTGGTTGGTTTGATTTACTTTAATCTCACTTTAACATAACCTTAAGCGACTCGAGTGACGAGTTTTGCTCTTAAGCATACTTTTAATTGAAGTAGTGCTTATTAATTTTTATAAATTTGGATATACTAAATATTGAGATTTTTAAATCTTAAAAAGTGTTATGTACGACACATGTCATCAAAAGTCGTTTGACAACTTATGGTTCGTTTTGGGGCAACTTTTTTACTGTGGCATCGCATTGAAAAGGCCGGGATAATGCTTGTTTAGTGCGTTTTAACTACTTATCGCAAAGCGCCGATCGCATTTTTTAATAAACGCGGCCGCGGGGGAGCCTCTGAGCCGGCAGTCCGCATTTTTCTTTCGCATTTTCTGGTTGCTCTTTAGTTCTACTTCGCCGGAGAGCCGTCGATTTCCCATTTTCCCTCGACGAGATCGCGAGCAAAAAAGGTGTTGAGAATTTTAGGGCGAAAAAAAAAAAAGAAATTGGCACAAATTAAAAAAAACACCCAAAGATTTAACGATGT